CCCAGTCTTACCGAGGATTCTAACCCGGGTCTCCCGCATGGGAGCCCATCGTTCCAACCGCTAGGCCAGCAGCTCCTAAACTAGTATAGAGTAAACAGTACAAATAAGTATTGGGCATATAGGGCTAGACCTATATTTTATAGACCGATAGGCTTTCAGTAGGTATTGAGGTCAACATCACGCCGGCCGCCTTTACTTATCATGATTTTCCCTGGTACTTATTTCAGGCTGGGTCAACTGAGGGTCGAAGTCATTTTTTTAAAAGTCTGATTCTCTTAGAGCCAGAACCCTAAACCTTCGGATCCGCAGGCAAGCTCCTAGCCGCTACATCACGGTGGCTTCCTTAACTAGTACGGGTAGTGATTTTTTTTCCTTCTTTTTTTTTTCTGGGACGCAAAGGGATGCAATCATTGTCTTCTTGATTTCTTTAACGTTCCTGATTTTCCAATCTTCACCAACACTGCCGATGTTAACTTTTTCTTACAGAATACCGGTATCATTTATGTCCCACTGAAACACATATTAGGATCTGGGTCGACCTAGCAGCAAAGGTCGTTAAAAAAAGTTAGTTAAATACCCTTTACAGGACGATGCAGAACCAACCCCAGATTGTTTTTACTGTTGTGTTTTTACTAGGCACATTTAACGTGCTGCAGCTAACCATTTTTCCTTTACCACTGCCACTACACGGTCAGCTCTAGGGAAAAAATAAACAAGTAAAGGACCCTTTTCCACGCCTTTAGGCCTATAGGGCATATAGGGCTAGACCTTTATTTTTATAGACTAATCGGCACAAGATGGGTGATGTGGTCAGCATCAGGCCGGCCGCATTTACTTTCCCGGGATTGCACCCGGTACCCACTCAAGGCTGGGTTGACCTGGGAGCCAAGGTCATTATTGAAAACAGTCCGGCTCCGCCAGGGAGCGAACCCACGACCTTCTGGTCCGCGACGAGCGTCTAGCCGCTCGACCACGGCGACTCCCTCAGCTCTATGTACCACTGTCGAAACCAACGCAAGGCGGTAAATTGTCAGCAGCTGGGATCGAACCCAGCACCCTGGCATTACCAGACGCGTTCCCAACGCCTAAGCGACAGACGTCGTCTCTATAGTGACGTACACTGGGTTAAAATATGACGTGCGGTAAATGTTAGCTCTCCTACAACCGCAAAAAGGCAAATATTTGGACACCCATAAATCGAATATATGTTCTTTTTTTCTTCACATTCGTCGACATGCCATTGTTGACTCTGATTTGATCTAATGGCAGGACTAAACGTTGACTTTCTTCTAACTCACTCGAGTTTTAGGAGGATAAATTATTCATCCTTCGTGTCTCAGTGTGCACGGTTGAAATGTGGAAACAATTTGGTTTTCATGCACACGGTGTGGTTGTAAATGCACATTACTTCGCGATTAATTATTTCGGAAAAGTTTGAATTTTAATTATTCTTTTTAATAATCTAGATTTTAACTTGAACACATTTTTTTTTTTTTTTTAAATTGTACGTGTATTTATTTGTTTGATTTTGTTCTAGTTGTTGGTGTTCTGTTTATTCATTGACTGGGTTTTGTTTTGTCTTGATTTTCTGCTCTTTCAAAGTAAAAGTTAACGGCTCTTTGTCCACCTGTAGCGCATTTGGCACTGTATTCTACACGTTCTGAATAGTTCAATTAGAACTCGACGGGTGATGTCAACATCAAATTAGCCGCCTTTACGTCCTGAGATATTGTCTGGTACCTATTGTAGACTGGGTCGGCCTATGCTAAGGCAAAGAATCGCACAGTAATCGTATTAGTTAGTTGCGTATCCTATACAGGACGTTGCAGAACCAATCCCAACAGCCCGATGTTAACTTTTACTCACAGATCCACCTGAATACCAGTATCGTTTATGTCCCGCTTAAACAAATATTGAAGGCTGGGTGCACCTAGCAGCTAAGGTCGTTTTAAAAAAAAAAATATGGTAACATTAGTTAGTTAAATACCCTTTACAGGACGATGCAGAACCAACCCCTGATTTTTTTTTTTTTTTTACTGTTGTGTTTTTACAAGGCAAAAGTAACGTTCTGTAACAATTTGTCCTTTACTACTGCCACTACACGGTCAGCTCTCGGTACCACTGTCGAAACCAACGCAAGGCGGTAAATTGTCAGCAGCTGGGATCGAACCCAGCACCCTGGCATTACCTGACGCGTTCGCAACGCCTAAGCGACAGACGTCGTCTCTATAGTGACGTACACTGGGTTAAAATATGACGTGCGGTAAATGTTAGCTCTCCTACAACCGCAAAAAGGCAAATATTTGGACACCCATAAATCGAATATATGTTCTTTTTTTCTTCACATTCGTCGGCGCAAAAGTCGACATGCCATTGTTGACTCTGATTTGATCTAATGGCGGGACTAAACGTTGACTTTCTTCTAACTCACTCGAGTCTTAGGAGGATAAATTATTCATTCTTGGTGTCTCAGTGTGCACGGTTGAAATGTGGAAACAATTTGGTTTTCATGCGCACGGTGTGGTTGTAAATGCACATTACTTCGCGATTAATTATTTCGGAAAAGTTTGAATTTTAATTATTCTTTTTAATAATCTAGATTTTAACTTGAACACATTTTTTTTTTTCCAAATTGAACGTGTATTTATTTGTTTGATTTTGTTCTAGTTGTTGGTGTTCTGTTTATTCATTGACTGGGTTTTGTTTTGTCTTGATTTTCTGCTCTTTCAAAGTAAAAGTTAACGGCTCTTTGTCCACCTGTAGCGCATTTGGCACTGTATTCTACACGTTCTGAATAGTTCAATTAGAACTCGACGGGTGATGTCAACATCAAATTAGCCGCCTTTACGTCCTGAGATATTGTCTGGTACCTATTGTAGACTGGGTCGGCCTATGCTAAGGCAAAGAATCGCACAGTAATCGTATTAGTTAGTTGCGTATCCTATACAGGACGTTGCAGAACCAATCCCAACAGCCCCTGGCTGTTGTGTGTGTTTTTTTAAAGGCAAATGTACGTCTAGTAGTTTGCCATTGCATTATGGACGGTCGGCTTTCTTGATACCACTGTCGAAACCAACGCAAGGCGGATGGCCTGCAGCTGGGATCGAACCCGGCATCGCAACATTTCGAAGCGTTCGCATCGACTTAGCCACAGAGCCGACACACTAATCGTATACTTGCAGTTTAAAACTGAGAGAAACGAGTTCATTGCATTGCGTTTCATCCAGTTATGACTCAGTACCTCTCCGTACAGTAGCAGCCTGCCTGTTGGTATCATCTCTACAAACCTCGAACTCCATATCTCTAGCGGTGATCTCTAACACTCTATGCCACACCAGAAGAAAGAAAAAGAAAAAAAACAGATTCGTGAACCGAATGACATTGTCCGAAAACAAACGCACGACCTTCAGAGCAGGAGGCAAACAGCCTAACTCAGCCACCGAGACCCACAAACGATTCGATTAAAAAGTTCCCTAAAGATTGAATCTTGTAACTTAGGCATGATTTTGTTTTATTTCAGCGTCGTTATAGAGTAATCAATGTTGTGTGCAAGAATGAGTGATGCTTGTCTCCCGGAAGTTCCCTCTGTTTACATTGGTTTCCTTTTAGCTGCGCATGCTCCATTTTTACAATGGCGGTCGTTGGGAAGTTGGGACAGAATAAGGCTTGACTTGAAGGATGGCAAGTTGGGACAAAATATGGCTTGACTTAAAGGATGGCAAGTTGGGACAAAATATGGCTTGACTTTGGGGGGGACGGCAAGTTGGAGTGAAGTAGAGAAAGATAAGAAAAGGTGAGGGAGAGATGGTAGGCAGTCGATGAGGTGGAGTTGGTAGGCATTTTTAGTTAGAGGGATAGCATGGTTGTCAACATAGGGGAAAGATGACTGAGATTATAAGCTTCACTTCTAACTCTTTTGGCATTCGCCATAAATAATTTACCTCTTTCTTCTACAAGACATGGGCGCTGGAACCAAGGGTGTCGAGGCCACTAGAGAAATCCTCTCATGTAGAGAAATTCCCCCCCCCCCCGCCCCCTTTTTTTGACATTTAATTGATACATTTCATTTTATTTCAAATATATTATATTAACTTGTCACATATCACTAAACTGGTAGTCTGGTAGTCTTCTAGTCTTGTAGTCTTAGTTTCAGCCTCATGGCAAACGGGTAACCCCATCTTTGCTCCGCTCCTGTGCCAACGGAAAACACACAGAATGTTTGTCACAGTCCCTTGTGGAAAGATTGACAGACTGCTGTCTCAGCAAATCTAGTATACACACGCATTAAAGCATACGGTACCATCCGAAGTGCTAACACAAACAGTCAGACATTAGAAATGTAGTTCATCACTGATGGTATCAAAAGTCACCCACAGATCAGCAGTTGCCAACGCAATCAATTTTAATCACATACGGGCACCATCAATATTGCGACGACAGTCAACGCGCCATTTTCTGAATCTACAATTCACACCACCACGTCAGTCACAGTCGTAAAAAAATCCCAAATGAAATCTGCAACTCACAGTGTCACGGCTTGCATTTAACTCAGAAGCTGGGCAACTAAATTATACCCAGTCTACGAATGGAGCAAAAATTGTTTTGGCTCCAAACAGTGCTCCTGCCTAACATCTATATTGACCGAAAGATGCTCTCTTGTCATATAGCACTAGACACACACACACACACACACACACACACACATATAGTAAAGTAAAGAAAGGATCATTTTCAAAGCCCTCGGGAGTATTGGCCATATAGGGCTAGATGTGCTAGGTAATGTGGTCAGCACCACGCCGGCCACCTTCACTTCCCATGACTTTACCTGATTCCCATTCAATCCTGGGTCGATCTGGGAACCAAAGTAATTTCTGCAAAAAGTCCGGTATTTCAGTACTCGAACCCACGACCTTCCGATCCGCAGGCGAGCATCTAGCCGCTACACCACAGCGACTCTCCATATGTGTAACTAAATTTAATTACATACACCACTTTTCCAGGTATACTTCATGAAAATGTTAAAAAAAATTTTTTATCAAATCTCCACCACTGCCTTATGTTTATTTTTAGGCCAGTCCAGTAGTTCACTACAGGTCACTGTCTGGAAGGAGTTATTTTGACAGACAGCCAGCTAGCCAGACAGACAAGTAGATTTTCTGTTTTGTAGTACTAACACACCAGAAAAAGCTCATCTAAGTCTTTGAAGTAAGTAATGAACGTATACATTTTTTACTCATTAAAATGCGTTTCTTTGTCTAAACGAGTTCAAATAAATACCTTAGCTGTAAACGGGCACACCGCAACCACGTCATTCAATGGACGACGAAAAAGATGATAATGCAATATGACAAAATAAGTTAGATTAAATATCAGGATAGAAGGGCTTAATTTGCCGCTTGCGGAAGGATTCAGAAATTTTTAGAAAACCGAGAGCATATTTTGTGAATGTAAAACAATAGAATTTAAATAATGCGGACACATGCTATATACAAGGGGGAGTTAATAAGTAGTCACAAATGGTTGTGAAACGGCAGGAAACTGAATTTGGTGGTTTCTAAAGGTGTCATTATGTGACAGCAACATCGATCTTTATGTCTCAGTTCATTGAGTGGCGCTAGGGGTTGCATGCGCATTCGTAACACAGAAACAAAATGGCGACTTACGAAGTGTACCTTAAAAAAAAAAACGTACTGTTGTGCGTTTTTTTTTTTTTTTGGGGGGGGGGGGGTGGTTTGTGGGAAGGGGTGATAAGGGCTACTGGCAAAGGGTATCCATAAGGAAATGCTTCATGATTTTGCTGACAAATTGTTATCCTGTAAAGTGGTGCAAAACTGGATTTAAAAAATATTGTATCAAGGACGCTCTAAAATTGTTAAGGAAGTCCGATCTGGTCGTCCTGTTGAGATTGCAACAGACGCATCCGTGTTGCGTGTGGAAGAGATCATTAGAAGTAATAGACTAGTAACGGTTAATTCCGAAGCAGCTGCAATAGGGTACTACCATGGTTCATGACCGACTGAAATTTTTTGTCAACTGAAAACGCACCTTGGAGGGAGACTTTCGCGTATGACGCAGACGTTTAATGTGAAATGAAAATGGGGTTTGAAAAACAGAGCACACAGTTCTACGCAGCAGGTTTAAGAGAATTGATAAGACGATGGGTCAAGTGCATCAATTTTTGTGGAAAGTATGTTGAAAAATAAAGGGACTGTGTATGTGTAAAAATAAACGGTTTTCGAGTCGTTATCGTCTTTAGTTTTTTCTTAAACACCCATTTGTAACCTTCTTATTGACAATCAATGTTGAAAGAGCTTCGAGCTGGCTTTGGGTGCAATGGAACGTCGTGGGAGATGGGCCTCTCTAGACTGGTCCGAGCTCCTAGTGGAAAAGAACTTTTCATCCCTGTTATGCCAAAGTGTCCGATAAATGTCTGCCAGTGTTTCTCTGCCAAATGCCATCGTCTAACATCTATTCGATGAGCTAACCGTAAGATTATCATTCTGGTCGTGAAGGTAGACGGCTAATTTGCTACCGCAGCGACAATATAACACCAAATCTGATAATACCTGTTGCAAAGTCACCATATCGTCTTGACGCTCTCCGAGAGTTCGATTAAGTACAGCAGACGAAGATCAAAGTAATGTAATAGGCCGAAGCAGTTGTCGACAAGCGATCTTTCTGCTGGTGAATGCTCTCCCCTGTGGAGTTATTATTTTATTATTATTATTATTATTACAGCATGCTCTTTAATGAAAACTGATTTAAGAATTGACATCCTAGCACCCGTGGCATACCCACAGGTGCTCTGTCTTCCGCAACAAATGTAGATGCTAGCTGCTCCCGTAGGATACTGATTATAAACTGGTACTTCTCTTCCTCTCATACGTCCCTCCTTGCGTGATCTCCACCTTATCCCTTGTTCACAGATTCTTACAGATGTATTATACCTAACCTTGTGTCTTCTTTCAGCATGTCTCCGATGTCCTGTTACGAGTGTTCCTGTAGCTATCGCTTTTGTAGCCAGAAAATCTGCTATTTTATGTCATCGTACTCCTGTTTAGCTATATATCGCTCGATCCACGGATTCTTGCTCTATGCGGCTCTCTAGGTAGGCGTCTAGCCGTTCTGCGGAGAGAGACAAGTCATGTGGGATAAAACCCATTGCAATGAAGTTGATCCTCTCGACCAACTTTTATAGCCTTGATAAATTTAAAACTGTCACATAGTTGTTGTTGTATGTTTTATACTCTCAGTGAGTGAATGAGTGACGTTCGACCCCACCAGGATTGCACCACGAGCTATAAACAACCGGTGACGCAAAGTACCATCATTTGGATGAGAATCCCTCGGATATAAATTTGGATGAGAATCCCTCGGGTATAAATTTGGATGAGAATCACTCGTGTATAAATTTGGATAAGAATTCCTCGTGTACAAATTTGGATGAGAATCCCTCGTGTATAAATTTGGATGAGAATCCTTTGGGTATAAGTTCCAAAAACCCCGTTTAACCATTAGGTTATATTAGATCCCTTGTCTACAGGGTGGGGCTTTAAATTGGGGCGAGGTTAAATTGTGTAAACTTGATATTCCCTGTTAAGTCTCCCTTATAAAAGTCTAAGTGTCTGATAACAATACTTGAGTCTTTCATAAATGGTCTTCAGAATGTCCCCTTTGCCTTGTGCGAGTGTTCCTGTAGATAGCGCTTTTGCAGCTAGAAAATTCGCATTTAAACTTCCCCGATCTCCTGCATGGTCCTTCAGATTTAGAACTGTCACATAAATGTTGTTATGTTGTTGTTTTTTAAAACTCGATATTCCCTGTTTTTCTCCCTTTAAGAGACTAGTTATCTGATAATTCTAAACGAGCTATCAAAGAAGTAAAAAAAAAATTACCATGCTGTTTTCACTTTTTTTTAAAGCGTTTTGTGTGTATAGGGCTACACTTAGGCACTTGTTTGGTGATGTGGTCAAACCGGCCGCATTTACTTCCCAGGACCGTACCTGGTACCCACTCAAGGCTGGGTCGACATTGGAGCCAAGGTCATTTTTAAAAAAAGTCCGGCCACCGTCTGGAACCGAACCCACGACCTATTAATCCGCAGGCGAGCGTCTAGCCGCTAGACCACAGCGACTCCTCCAGGCTTTCAAAAGGCATCATTTAACATCCATACCATTTGTAAAATCCCTCCCCATCAAGTCCATTTTGTAAGTCTGTCTGATAACAAATAACACAAATATTTAATTTAAATCTCTCTGCAGCTCGAACCCACAGCCCCAATGAAAACCCACCAGAAGAGAAAAACACTTAAACCTATAACCCCCCAAGCCGCCGTAAAACTGCACCTCGTTCCCGTATCGCCTCGTTATCTCCTCGTTTCTGAATCATTAAACGCGACAAACACGAGCAAAAGTTGATCACAATGGCGCCGTAAGATTTACTGCTTTCGCAATCTTGTGTTCGTTCAAGCCTTCAACTCGCATTAATTTTCCGCCAACTGCAAAGACACAGCAGAAAAAGCCATCAGACGACGGGTGGAAAAAAAAAGTATAACTATCAATTATTGCCGAATCGAAGTGCTTTATTCGAGCTTTAAAAGTATGAAAAGTAAAATAAACGTAGATTAAACGAAAGGTATAGAATGCTTTTCAACGGGTATAGGTAATCGATGTGCTCAAAAAATCAATTATAAACTTAGGGAAACCGGAAGCTACACTTTACAAAGGACTCAGCAGGTTAAAAAAAAAGTGACGTCTCTTTTTCAAGCGGTACTTTGGGGTCGTTCAATATTTGATTTGTATGGGATAGCGAAAACAATGGAGGCACGTGAAACGTGTGGAGTGACTATCTTTCTCTTCCTATCAGCCGTTTGACTGCCTTTCAGTCTATTACCTGCTTGCTGGACTATCTATCTATCTATCTATCTATCTATCTATCTATCTATCTATCTATCTATCTATCTATCTATCTATCTATCTATCTATCTATCTATCTATCTATCTATCTATCTATCTATCTATCTATCTATCTATCTATCTATCTATCTATCTGTCTGTCTGTCTGTCTGTCTGTCTGTCTGTCTGTCTGTCTGTCTGTCTGTCTGTCTGTCTGTCTGTCTGTCTGTCTGTCTGTCTGTCTGTCTGTCTGTCTGTCTGTCTGTCTGTCTGTCTGTCTGTCTGTCTGTCTATCTATCTATCTATCTGTCTGTCTGTCTGTCTGTCTGTCTGTCTGTCTATCTATCTATCTATCTATCTATCTATCTATCTATCTATCTATCTATCTATCTATCTATCTATCTATCTATCTATCTATCTATCTATCTATCTATCTATCTATCTATCTATCTATCTATCTATCTGTCTATCTATCTGTCTATCTATCTGTCTGTCTATCTGTCTGTCTATCTGTCTGTCTATCTGTCTGTCTATCTGTCTATCTATCTGTCTATCTATCTGTCTATCTATCTATCTATCTATCTATCTGTCTATCTATCTATCTATCTATCTATCTATCTATCTATCTATCTATCTATCTATCTATCTATCTATCTATCTATCTATCTATCTATCTATCTATCTATCTATCTATCTATCTATCTATCTATCTATCTATCTATCTATCTATCTATCTATCTATCTATCTATCTATCTATCTATCTATCTAATCTATCTATCTAATCTATCTGTCTGTCTGTTTACGTGGACTTGGGCTTATAGTAATTCCCTCTGGAATCTGGGTAGTGAGATCGGACGCCCGTGTGTATTGTTGCGCACGTAATAAATTCTTTGGTATTTGGAAATCGAAAAGAGTAGCCTAACTGAGCTGCCACGGCAAAATTTTGAGTTAAAAAAAAAAGAAGAACGGAGCACTTATAGGTTATACCCTTGTGCCATGATTTAATCCGTTGTTCAAACTTCAAACATCTGTCTGTCTATCCACCCGTCCGTCCGTCCGTTTCCCTGCATGTATACTGTATTTTCGTGAGTATAGGCCGCACCCGTGTATGGACCGCACCCGTTTTCTCAGAGGATAATTTTCGGAAAAAAATAAATTTTTTTCCCTTAGATTTTCGTTGAAAGACCAACGCTGAAACGGTAGTACAAATAAGCAATGAAAGATAGGCAGCTATAGCTGAAACATTAAGTTGCAAGTAGTGGGTTATGTACAAGTGAATTAAAAACCGGTTATGGTTGGCAAAGGTGGTTATGGCATAAAATAACCTGGCGGGCAACAGTGGTGCAGCGACTTTTCAAACCTAGCAAGGGAATATATTTTGTTTTAAAGATGTTATGAATTCACAGAAGCGACAAAACTACAGAATGGGAGCAATCGGGAATATTAAACTATTAAATAAATTGTGTACAGCTGACATGTATGTCTAATATCTCGAATTCAAACCGCAGCTTTTTTTTTATCAACGATTTTGGTTAAAATACTGCGGCCTACCACGTGTAACTTCGGATACTTACTTACTTTTACTAAGGGTAGATCGGTCGACTGAGTAGTTAGTTATTTCATGTTTGTGTTGGTTCGTTGATTTTTTGAGCATATTTTTTCCTGAGATGAAACTCGTTGTTATCGGGTTAACTACTCGTCTTGCCCTTTCTTTGCGTTTCAAATGGCACCTATCGCTTTTAAACGTATCGAACACTGGATTCCTGGACGGGCATGCTAGTGTGTTAACAACTGCGGCGCATTTGGGCAGTACTGGTCTATATTAGGGCTGTACCGAATATTCGCTGCGTATTCGCTTCGGGACCGAATAGTGGACCTATTGACTATTCGGTATTCGGCCGAATTGTTGCGGTCGGGCCGAATACGAATAGTAGTTACCTTACACCCGCTTCTGCATTCACGGTCTTAATACTGATAACATGGAACGATTGGTTTTGTTGAAAGCTGATGCAGCTTTCATGCATTAACTAAGCTGTCAGTGACAACTTCCAAGTTTAGTTACTTGTTATAATACTTAGGATTCTTCCATTCCTAGTTATTAGTTACCACAGACTGACTGGAGGATGCAAAACATAAAATGTTTTTAAATGTTCACTATTCTATACGAATACTAACTATACATGGAAAGAATATAAACTCCGGCCACATCCAAGTCGATAATATGAAAATCAAACGATCGGAAACACATAAGCATTTAGGTAAAAACTTTAACTGCTCCATCATGCTGAAATACAATCTAGAAATAAAGTATACTATGCCCTTCAACATCTGCTAAAGTCATAGTGTCTGTCCCGCAACACCAAGATTAAAATATATAAAACTTTGATAAGACCAGTCGATGTATATGGCTCTGAAACTTAAAGCAGAAAGAAAAAAATGAGGCCTTATTACAGGTTTTCAAAAACAGTCTTACGAAAAACCTTTGGACCCATCAAAGATTCTGTCAGCGGGGAATGGAGAGTGAGAAGCAACAACGTAACACATAATCTGTTTAAATCACCATTAATCATTGGCATCATGAGAGCTAACAGACTAAAATGGTTAGGGCATATTGAAAGAATGTCAGATGACAGAGAAGTAAAGCTGGATACACCTGAGAGAGGAATGGGCGTAGACCACGAGGCAGGAAAAAAAAAGCGATCCAGAGATAATGTCCAGTCAGACCTGCAAACAACTGGTGTCACAAATTGTGAAGAGAAGGCCAGTCAGAGAGATGAATGGAGACGAGTGATATCTGCAGCAGTAAACCCCAAGGGCTCAGAATGCTAAAGAAGAAGATGACTTTTCTGTGCTACCTTATGCGAAGTAAAAGTTCAGCGTACATTTGACATTATGAATGTGTGTGTGTGTGTGTGTGTGTGTGTGTGTGTGTGTGTGTGTGTGTGCGTTTTTTTAAATAGATATATTTAATACACTATACACTATTCGTATTCGTATTTGGCCGAATAGTGAAAATCACTATTCGGTACAGCCCTAGTCTATATACAGGCAGTGGTTTTAAACCTGTGGCAGGGTCCCCCCTAGGAAGTGGGGCCGCAAGGAAATTTCGGGTTCGGGGGGGGGATAGGGGGGGGGGGGGTGGGGGGGGGGGAGGGGCATCAAGCAGTTTTGAAATGGAAGGCATTTTGCTTGTAACAATTTTGTAAATTAATCCCCCCCCCTCTATCTATCTATCTATCTATCTATCTATCTATCTATCTATCTATCTATCTATCTATCTATCTATCTATCTATCTATCTATCTATCTATCTATCTATCTATCTATCTATCTATCTATCTATCTATCTATCTATCTATCTATCTATCTATCTATCTATCTATCTATCTATCTATCTATCTATCTATCTATCTATCTATCTATCTATCTATCTATCTATCTATCTATCTATCTATCTATCTATCTATCTATCTATCTATCTATCTATCTATCTATCTATCTATCTATCTATCTATCTATCTATCTATCTATCTATCTATCTATCTATCTATCTATCTATCTATCTATCTATCTATCTATCTATCTATCTATCTATCTATCTATCTATCTATCTATCTATCTATCTATCTATCTATCTATCTATCTATCTATCTATCTGTCTGTCTGTCTGTCTGTCTGTCTGTCTGTCTGTCTGTCTGTCTATCTGTCTGTCTGTCTGTCTGTCTGTCTGTCTGTCTGTCTGTCTGTCTGTCTGTCTGTCTGTCTGTCTGTCTGTCTGTCTGTCTGTCTGTCTGTCTGTCTGTCTGTCTGTCTGTCTGTCTGTCTGTCTGTCTGTCTGTCTGCCTGTCTGTCTGCCTGTCTGTCCGTCTGACTACCTATCTATCTGCATCTCTCTCTCTCTTTCTGTCTCTGTCTCATACACACACACACACACACAGTTATTATTAACTAAATTTAAACAGTCATATAAACAGAACAACGCTACCAGCTTAATGTGGAGAGTGATGTTCTTTGTGCCTTGTCCAACAATAAACCTAAAATAACAGAAATCATCAAGACAACCATCAATCACATTGATATCTGGGCAGTAAATTTGCTGTTGTTGATTTTTTTCTTTAAAGTTATTTTACACTTTGATTTATGTGGATGTTTTTCTCCAAGTATTTGTTAACACTGCTAGGGATTTTTTAAATTTTTTTTATTTTAAATTTTTTTTTTTTTTTTAGTTCTGCGTGGGGAAAGAGAGGGGCCGTGGGTTGTTGTCAAATATTGCGGGGTGCACTCTTGGTAAAAGGTGGAAAACTACCGATACACAGGGAACGACAATAGCTAAAGTCACCCGCCGGAAGGTGGACAGCTAACAATTCCTCCCCACGAAGCTTTCTGATAAGATGAAGGATCATTCTGGTGAAGAGGAGGGTGATGATTAAGCTGACGGCGGTGAAAGGCATGAAGAAGATTTGATGATAATGATGATGATAATGATGATGATAATGATGATGATAATGATGATGATAATGATGATGATAATGATGATGATAATGATGATGATGACTGTGGTGGTGCTGGTGGTGGCGTTGTAATGTTACGTTGATGTTTTTCTAGGACTGTCCATGTTTGACACTGACAGCACACAATTGATACGAATAGCGCATATCAGCTGCTGTCAGCTGTCAGGTGAAGAATTTAATGATG